TACAACATTCGTGTCCGTGTTGTATGGGAATTACAATCTCTCGCCTGCGGCTCGAGATTGTAATTCCCATACAATACGGCCGCTCATGTTGTAAACTATACATAAAACAGTGCCATAACTGTATGATTTTACATAATAAACAAGGAAAATTGTTCTGGCAACAAACACAATCCAATGGCTATTGTCTATTGAGGAATTACAGAGCACACTTCTTAAAATAACAAGATCCTGCACTATAATCAACTGAGACTACAGCACACACAATGTAGTGGCATGAGCAGAGCTCTGAGGTTGCTTTGAAAAAACATCTTACATGTTTTTGACCTTACACTAGATAAACTCGTAACCCAATGGACTTTTGCCAGTATTCTGGGATTGTGAGTGGATTAAGATGGTTAGAAGGAGTATTTCCTGTCTTACCCAAGAAGTAATTTTCCATATAGACTTCTTCCACTACCACTTCTTGACTCAGCACCTCCAGCTGTAATCTGTTAAAAAATCAACCAGGGAAATAATGAGTAAAAAAAGTACTGTAAGTACCATGTAATTTCATTTATATCAAGTTTTCATTCAAAATAGTTAATATTATTGCAGTACAACAATAAAAGAGTTTAAAATCAATATTATTTCAATCAAGTTGTCATTAAAAATATAGTATAATATTACTGCAGTACTGCAATAAAAGAGTTTATAATCAAATATCAACCTGTTTTGAGTGTTTTCTTGTTATCTCCATGTCATACCAAAAGCCTCTATCTTTGGGGTCATCTGGACAGTAATTTGCCATTACAACTTGACCAACTTCAAGCTGTCAAATAAAAGGCATTTTCTAAAGTTAACTAAAGGTTTACAGACGGCTGTTCATTATGATGGTGGCAGGAAGACAGCTACAAGGTAGGTATCTTATTCCTTATAATTATAATTATAATATTATAATTATAATTATAATATTGATGTTATTGCTTACTTGGTCCCACTGTATCCTTGTTCGTGCTCTTGGTCTTACATCCTTGGATGTTAGTTGACTTATTTCATTTTCTTCATACCTGATTCAAATAACAAGAAAAATCATTAACATGCCATTGTTTAAAAATTGACAAAGCAAATTTGAACTGACGAAAGCATTACATGAGTAAAAATTAAAATAAATGTTTAATAAACAAACAATATAAATAAAACGAACAAATAAATGAATGAACAAACTGATGTTGTATGCTACTTTAGTTTATACTTCAAATGGGGACCATTTTACTTACTCATCAAATTTAACATGATATAAGACTGATGTTGAGTCTGTTTCATCCTGCAGACTAACATCAACAACTTCAGCTTCAAACCATGCACCCATATTTAAGTCTTTAGCATCAACTTTTGCTCCGACCTAAATAACTACACATATTACTTTTCAAACAATATAATACTTCACTTTAGTTTTACTCAATGTTAAGATCTGAATATAGAAGGAGATAGAGAAGCCTTAATCCTCTGTACATAAAAAATACATTAGACATGTTCAGTGAAAATAGTCATGTACATCTGGCACTAATACTCATCTTTAATAATTTCAAAATTGTACCCTATATAATGCTTTTATATGGCTTTTGGAAGTTGAAGATTCTCCACTGGAATTCTACAAACAAATAACAATTAGATAACATTCAAACACAGGTCCTTCTCTATCATTTAACTACAGTTTTTTATTAATCTCTTCACTCGAAGAACTTACTGTGCTATTTTCAGGAGCATCTGTAGAGTTCATTTCTTCACCTGTAGCTGCTCTCTCAGAATCAGCTTCATCACTTTTAGGAGTATCATTCGAAATAGTCTCTTTCTTTGGTGTTGAAGGTTTCACTGGTTGTATCATAAGCTGAACCTTTTCATTGACATTGATGCTGTAGTCAAAAAGTGTGTGCTCATTTTCAAGCTGAAAAGCAAGATCTTCAATGAGAATTTTCACACAGAATTAATCAATAATATTGTAAATTATAATGCTATGCTGTAAAAGTAATGATGGCAATAGTTCACCAACAAAACATAAAAGTAAATTCAAGGTTTGGCTTGATAATCTTGGAATCTTCGAAGCTCTAGCTAGTATAATTAGCTATCATTATGTTATCACTGAGTTAGAAAGCCAAACATTTTGAGCATTATGACCTGTATTACAAGGAGACTTTATTAATGTAGTGAATGAAGACTGCACTGTAAGTTTACACAAGTTTGTTTACTTTGTTGTGAACATTAGTCTTTGGTGCTAGTCTGACTCCATTGATATCTCAAACCAGTGCAGTTGCTCTTGATAAATTTAGGATTTTATTTGTGAAAACATTGCATAATAAAAATGTTGGCTTTCTCCCTCTAATTGACAAGCCAAGTATTTACTATACCTGCTTTCCACGGAAAAACAACCTCATGTTACTTTTCTCATCTACTTCAAAAACTTCTCTAACTCTTTCTTTCAGATCTTCAATCTTAGTTAATTTACTTAGGCTGTCAATCAATTTTTCGACTTTGCCGTCGAAGGTACGCACACTGATCCACATGATTGATAATTTGTCTGAAAAGTATAAGATACATGTAAATTATCCAAGATTTCATTTGATACATATTATTATTAGCGAAAAAGATTCATAATTTATATAACATTCTCACTAACACATAGCATTTGTGTTCAAAATATTGATATTTAACTTCCCTTCTATTCTGTGCACGCATGCAAATGATGCATATTACACGCAGTCACAAGTGGTTTGGAAAGGTTGGAGCTCCAATTACCAAACAAAGTTTGAAACACATAAGTGTAAAGTTTTGCTACTGACTGATAGGAACGGCCTTGTTTTCACATAAACAGAGACTAACAGCGTTATTATTTAATATCGCTACAATAAGTATTTGTGAGATGGAGCATAAAGACCCGGATTGAGGCCAGTTGCCAAGTTGAGGTCAATTAAGGAGCCAGTTGCATGGAGGGTGAAGCGCTTAGAATAGCTGACATAAAACAGTGACTACCTTTTGATTGGCTGAATGCATAAAGTTAAGTGAGAAGATTCTATTGGTTGGAGCAGCAGTGTGTGGAGAAGAGAGATTATGACTTAAGCATGATTTATGCAGTAATGACATGTGCTTTGGACATGAGTGCACAATTATAAATAGCTGCAAATGCTTATAATCAATTCTCACATTAATGATTATAAAATACCATGCACTTAGAGAGGCATGCTTTGAGACATAATATTATTCTTGCTGTGTTACAATTGCTATATCAATATATAATCCAGGTGTTAATGCATATAAAAGCAATTTTTGATTGAAGTTATTTTGTGGTTTTAGAGCTATTGTTTTTTTCTAGATCATTTATGTACTTCTCTACTCGAAGGGCGACCTTAACGTGACGAGTATTTCCTGAACGGCATGGCTGCAAGCCAACTAAGTGAAGCGTTGGCGATCCCTAAGTGTTTACTACAAGACATAGTTCAAATACTCGACTTATCTGCGGTTTCCATGTTTATTCTTTTAGAAAACTTGTACACAATTTTAAAACTTTGTACGATTTTCGAATTGGTTCTACTCTTTGGAAAGTTATTAGGATCTGAAATAATTGAACTACAAACGCTTGCGTTATGTTTGGAAAGTTGATAATAAGGAGAGATTGATCTTTTTATAGTGGATCCTTTGTCTCAATGTAGTGTACGTGAAAGCTAGACTTCATTGAAAATCAATAAGCTTAATTGACTCACACCAACTTCGTACCGGGATGCAAGCTGTGATTTACAAGGACATTGAGGATTATGTAACGCGATTCTTAAATATACTCATAAGTTATAGTTTGGTCGTGTTATTTTAACAAACACACGTATTGCAAAAGTCAAAAGCACATTTGCTACTCGGCATTGCATGACACAGCAAGCGTGCTGAAGCTAAAAAAATGTTTACACTGGCTGCCTAGCGACATTTTAGGTGCCTTAGAAATAGCATTGGCACTTACCTTAAAACTTAATCGAAGAGATCGACAAGGAAAAGTGCGATCAACTAATCTAATTCAGAGTCGTAGGACACACACAAGGGAAACACCACTATGTTTCTCACATGGCGGGAAAACTTGGAAAACTCATGTGATTTGCGTCGTCCAATCAAAATGACGCTGTGCAAATGAGATATTTTTATAGCATTTTCTTCCGAATATAAATACTACAAATCTCTGATTATAAGTATTTGAGTAAATCTGCAAGAAGAATGCAGGAAATAACTGCATATGTAGGCTTCCCAACTATATTTTGCTTGAAAGAAGAAAAGAAGGATGTGGATTACCTGTGGTACTGCGTCATGATCCCGTGCCTCGCGGGACGAAGAAGTGACGCCTGTGAGAAACGYTACTTGAGCAGTACAAGAAACTTGGGCATGCAAATGCAACTATTATTATCCCAAAATGCCCGTTTGTGAAGTGTGTGAAAGCGAGACTTTTGAGTCAAAGAATGGTTTGTACTACTGTCTAACCTGTGGAACACAAACACAGGTGAGTTGAGGTGTTTTTCTATTGCCTATTTGAATTGTGTTCTTGTGCCGTTTTAGGCTGCAGTGCCTGTCCAGTCAGCGCGCGTTTTGGTGCGAAATATTTCTTCTGTGGAAATGATCTTTTAAAATGTTTAGATGGATGCTAGTTGCTGTCTAAATGCTTGTTTTTGTTGTCATGGTAGTCTCTATTATAAGAGTCTTAAAACGTTTAGAAACTTCGCGATACAAAGTACTTTTGCAAGAACAGAGCATTCATTTTGCGCGGGATACAGTAAGTTATTGATTATGTGTGTGGCGCCGTTTTCTATTTGTAGCTTATATAAGCTTAATAATTATTTTATAATGTTTTGTTTTGTGGATAATCAATAGTTTTTCTTATTTATTTGCTATAAACTAACATTTTTTGTGCTACATGTATAATGTAAGTATGCATTGCACCATGCACCATGCAATATTCAACTGCTTTTTAAATCTCTGTATAATAAACCTAAAATATTCTGACTTACTTTGAATTCCTTGGATCTTTAACACCTTTAGTAAAGAAGATCGGAATATAGTCCCCAAAAATTCCAATAAATATTTTGGATGGTGGCCTTTAGGAGAAGAAAATAAAATTCAATGGCTTATGTTTTTTTTCCTTTCATACCATGCATGATCTTAAATGAAAGCACTTTTATTGTAACATGGTATTATATTAAATTGTATTATTCCTACTGTAGGTGCTTGGTCCCCTGCCTTTTAGCCATCTAAGTCATTGCTAGATCAACCAATAAATTATTTATAAATCATTTATCAAAAAATCCCTATTAATTAATTAACAATCGATTCAAAAATGAATGATTGATTCAATTTCCATTGTGATATGGTACTATTATATTAAATTGTATTGTCCTTATACTGGAGGTGCTTTCTCCCCTGCCTTTTAGCCATCTAAGTCATTGCTAGATCAACCAATGATTCAAAAATGAATAATTAATTCTAAAATTAAGATTTTTTTAAATATTTCTTTACAATTCTATCAAAGCAGCCCCTTAATTTCATGATATATTTTATGTAGTTCTAGGATATTTAAGTACTAAGTGTAGAACATCTCTGAATCAAAAAGTCACAAAGCTCTTGACAAATTCAAAGTGTCAAAACTTGTTAAATTCTATTTGGTGAATACATTTTGGTTTAATACCGTTGTAATTCCAACGTATAGCATGGTTGATATTCATATTGTTTGATTGAAAGGGCATGCATTGTAAACTTTCATTGGGATTCTCGTAATTAATACTTTTTTGATTGCTGCGGAGCGTTGCAGATTTGGCATTCATGTATTAGTTGAAATCACAGCGGAAATAGCCTGTGTACATCCGTTTCTCAGGCTAAGCGCAAAAGTCTCGAYGGATAATCGTATAATACTCGGGAACTTACCTAATCTTGAATTCATTCATGTTAAATTTAACAGAGGAAGTTGTACATGCATTTAGGTTTCACTATGTAAATTTTCATCCGTTATTATCCAAGATTGCCAGAGTTATTTTTTCTTAACGTACCTCCATGTAAAGCTCTTCACCTCTTCACATCTGCCAGAAACATAAAAAGGAAAAATAGAGAATACTTTTGTGGATTTTTTATGATCATTTTGTCGTATTTTGGAATTTTTCAGCATTTTAAGGTGATGATTAAATTTATGTCATTGTCAGAAAGTGCGATGTGCTTGTAATGTTTTGTGTTACAGTAGGCCAATGAGCTTATTCAAGTATAATAGCCATTGAGTTACATTACTCTTTCTTTCCAACCTCAGATTTCATGAATATTTTCAGCTGACATCTGCTCCCATTTTAATGCAAAGAGTTTTTTGAAGAGGGAATTTATCTTTCGATCCAAGAAATTGGTTTCTTTGTATTCATCAAAAACCTAGTACAATTAAAACAAAACATTTGAATTCAATTTTTGTCGCTATAATTTTTTTTAGCATTTTGTATTATATTTGTTATGAAACAATCTAATGTTTGTTTAACGCTTTGAGTTATAATTTTAAGTACGTTTTTCTATATTTTAAAAACATGTGTAAGCATTTTTCTTATTTTAAAAATAGATACCCTTGTGCTAGGGGCTTCTCGGTATCTCATCTCTGTGTAAAAATACTTTATTCTTCACCTTGAAGCAGCGATATGGTGATGAGGTATTTTTACACAGAGAAGATCAGAGAGAGAACCAGAGATTGAAGCCTTTTGAACGAGGATAGCAAATACATGTAGTACATTACGCAGTACTGTAGCTACATGAAATAGTTTTTTGAAACTGTTAATCATTTGCAATTTTATTTTCTACGAGTTACAAAATTTTGATTGAAAAACATACGTTGCACTCATGTCTCATCGCTGAGCAAAACGTATCTAATTTTAAAGAATTATCTCTCTCTAAATTCCCCATAATTATTATTTCAGCAAAAATACCTGAATCCCTTTTCTTGTAGAACGCTAACACCATAGCGTTTCATATAAGTATGTAGCCTCATTATTTTTGTGAATTTTTAATTTGAAACTTTCCCAGAAAGGAAGTTGAAAGATGTAAGCTTTTCAGTTCAGTTCCTTGTATTAAAGTCCCCATGGTTTCACTTTGCTATTGAAGTGAAAATTTAAATAAATGATATATATTATGGGTTGCTAGCATCCATATTGAGAGGGCTTGGGTACAAATTAAAAAAATCACTTCAATATTGTTTAATTACAATTCATAATTTTTGTTTATTAAGAAATTTATAAAGAAATGTAATGTTGTATGCCTTGGATAACTTGGACAGTGCATGTTATTTGTTCAATGAAAGCCCAYACATTGATCATTTGAACTGCTCAACATCAATCATTTAATCTGATCAAAAAACATTTTTAGCTRAATTTCTCGCTGCTAAATGTTAATATTATATTAATTTTTGTGCCTTTACAAGTCTAATAATTATGACAGTGAAGGGGCTTAAATAATATCCATCAGGCACTATGATATGAAATTCTGCATTACACAACAACATAATTAAAACAAGACTGATTTGAGAAGATTTTACAATTTATTACAAACCGTAGAAGTTTATATATCTCCATGTAGTATAATTGTTTCATCATTTTATTGAGTAACATTTAAGAAATTGTCTGTTTATTTATTATTAATAATACACTATTTATTAATTATCATGAATATTTATTACTGGTAGTTATAAATACTTTATTAATTATTAACATTACCTGTATCTCGGATGTTCAAACCATAAGATACCCAGTACTTGATAAAATT